GAGAGAGGAGAAGAGAGAGAGAGAAGAGAGAAGAGGATGAGAGAGAGATAGAGAGAGATAGAGAGAGATAGACAGAGGAGATAGACCAGAAGAGAGAGAGAGAAGAGAGAGAGAGAGAAGAGAGAGAGAGAGAGGAGAGGGAGAGAGAGAGATAGAGAGAGAGAGAGAGAGAGGAGAAGAGAGACGAGAGAGAGGAGATGAAGAGAGAAGAGGAGAGAGAGAGAGAGAGAGAGGAGAGAGAGAGGAGAGAGAGAGGAGAGAGAGAGAAGGAGAAGATAGATAGAGGAGAGAGAGAGAGAGAGATAGAGAGAGAGAGAGAGAAGAGAGAGAGAGAGAGAGAGAGAGGAGAGAGAGAGAGAGAGAGAGAGAGAGAGAGAGAGAGAGAGAGAGAGAGAGAAGATGAGAGAGAGAGAGAGAGAGAGAGAGAGGAAAGAGAGAGAGAGAGAAGGAGAGAAGAGAAAGAGAGAGAGAGAGAGAGAGAAGAGAGAAGAGAGAGAGAGAGAGAGAGAGGAGAGAGAGAGAGAGAGAGGAGAGGAGAGGAGAGAGAGGAGAGAGGAGAGAGGAGAGAGAGGAGAGAGAGAGAGAAAGAAAGAGAAAGAGATAGAGAGAGAGATGAGAGAGAGAGAGAGAGAGAGAGAGAGAGAGAGAGAGAGAGAGAGAGAGAGAGAGAGAGATAGAGAGAAAGAAAGAGAGAGAGAGAGAGAGGCGGAGACATGGAGAGGCACTTATGGCGGGAGCGACGGACGAGAGAGTGTGGCGCAGTGGGAAAGGAGTGGCACGGCTAGAGGTGCGTAACGGGCGAGCAAATGTGGCGCGGCGGGAAGGGAGTGGCACGGCTAGAGGTTCGTGACAGGCGAGCGAGTGTGTCTCTCCCTCCCTCGCCGCGTCTCTCCCTCCCTCGCCGTGTCTCTCCCTCCCTCGCCGCGTCTCTCCCGCTCACGCCGTGTCTCTCCCTCTCATGCCGCGTCTCTCCCTCTATCGCCCCATCTCTCCCTCTCTCGCCGCGTCTCTCCCTCTCTAGCCGCGTCTCTCCCTCTCCCGTCGTGTCTCTCCCTCTCTAGCCGCGTCTCTCCCTCTCTCGCCGCGTCTCTCCCTCTCTCGCCACTTCTCTCCCTCTCTCGCCGCATCTCTCCCGCTCACGCCATGTCTCTCCCTCTCACGCCGCGTCTCTCCCTCTGTCGCCGCATCTCTCCCTCTCTCGCCGCGTCTCTCCCTCTCTCGCCACTTCTCTCCCTCTCTCGCCGCGTCTCTCCCACTCACGTCGTGTCTCTCCCTCTCACGCAGCGTCTCTCCCTCTCTTGCCACGTCTCTCCCTCTCTCGCCGCGTCTCTCCCGCTCACGTTGTGTGTTTCCCTCTCTCGCCACTTCCCTCCCTCTCTTGCCGCGTCTCTACCGCTCACGCCATGTCTCTCCCTCTCACGCTGCGTGTCTCCCTCTATCGCCGCATCTCTCCCTCTCTCGCCGCGTCTCTCCCTCTCGCGCCTCTTCTCTCCCTCTCACCGCTTCTCTCCCGCTCACGTCGTGTCTCTCCCTCTAACGCAGCGTCTCTCCCTCTCTTGCCGCGTCTCTCCCTCTCTTGCTGCGTCTTGAAGGAATGCTAAAGCAAGAGCGCTGGGAAAGTGTGGAGCGATTCTGGCAGAGTAACACTATTCGAATAGCGTGCTAGGCACTCGTGGCAGTTGGGCAGAGTTTGCCTTAAAGTACTTGGTCGAAATTCGAGTAGAGTAGAAGTTCACTAGAAACATATATATCCAAAGTGCAAAGAAGCATGCAAATATATAGGCAAGTGCAAACCCAACCAATGTTGCGTGGCGCTGCGGGTGTAACCAACCACCCCGAAGTTGCCAAAGGGTTGGGCGAACGCCGCCTCGCCCAATTCTCCAACCCAACTCAGCAAGGTTGGGTTTGCCGTGTACGCAACTCCAACCAGCAAGGCAAACACTGCCTTGCTCCTCACGAAAAACCATCGTGATAGCCACGACTACTTATGACTCGTCAGAGTCACTGGTCATCGTGAGCATCTCCGGACTAGTCTGCACAAACTAGACATAGTCTTCGGACGCAATGGTTAGTCCATGCACCTTGATCACGCCAACCCGCAGCTGCCAGGCAACTGGTGCACCGACATAAGTCGGTCAACGCCTGGCTACCCGCAGCTGCAGTAGGGCTTCCAACACTCCCCTGCACTACTACAGCAAGGCCCTTTATAATCACAGGGCATACACATACAAGCATACAAGCCAAAAAGGAACACAGAGCACGCACGCAAGGGTCCTATGCATCAACAGTACGCTTGCCATATTTCTTCATCTGAAATACACACCGCACCAGCCATGGATAGGCCATGGCACCATCACAAGCAAAAACCTACGAAGAGCCAGAAGCGTATGCACAGATACGCTCATAGTCACGGAATGCTGCCAATGCACGTTCCTCGTACTCACCCCAGCCTTTCTCCTTCCTTCCACGCCTCATGCTCTTCATTCGCTTCCTTGGACCAGCATCACAGCGATGAATACGGAAAGGGCTTGAAGTGAAGGCCATCGCATGTGTCCTCAATTGTCCCGCTGTATCAAAGCAACGGGAAAAAGCTGGGAAATGTAACGCTTTAGTAAGATAGTCAGCAGGTTGCTCACTGGTAGGGATGTACTGCAGGTCCAGCTTCCTACGCTTGACCATGTGCTGCAGCCACATGTGACGCCGCTCCATGTGCTTGAGACTCCCCTTGAGCCCCATGCCACCTGCCACAGCAATCGCAGACGAATTATCGACAAAGAGCGTCGTCGGCGCCTCACACTTGAGCAGCTGAAACTCTGCCAAGAGGAAGCGCAGCCTGCGAGCCTCCTTCCCTGCTTCAACTGCCGCAATATACTCTGACTCAGTAGAGGAGAGAGTGACGCAACGAATCCTCTGACTCGCCCAAGCAACTGCAGCACCGCCAAACACAAAGACGTAACCCCCTGTGCTGCTTCGATTTTGCTTGTCTCCTGCATCATCAGCGTCTGCGTACCCTATCAGCTCCAAGGACGCTGGACCCCCACTGAATTCCAAGGCTGCATCCTTGGTCCCCACCAAGTAGATCAGGCACCGCTCCAGCTCCTTCCAGTGCTGATTACTGCGCACTGTCTGTCCTGACCCCAGCTTACTGCATGCGAAAGCGATGTCAGGGCGTGTGGTACAGGCAGCAAACTGCAAGGATCCCACCTTCTGCCGGTACTCCTCCTCCTGCCTGGACTGCCATCCCTCATCCTCAAATGTTAGCTCACTGAATGGGTCGGAGGAGAGAGGGGTCCGTGGCATACGCTGAGGCAGCTCCCCTGCCAAAAAGCGCCGCTGCACCTTCTCCACGTAGGCCGACTGGTGCAGCCACAGCTTCCGGGAGGGCCTATCGCGTATCAGCTGCAACCCCAAGTATTTCTCGATGAGGTTTATCTCTCTCAGCTGAAATGCGCCCTGCAGCAGCTCACGCAGCTCCCCCAGCAGGTCCATACTGCAGCTGGCCGCTAGCAAGTCATCCACATAGGCAAGCAGCCAGCACATCTCACCCCCTTCATTGCTCTTGAAGTAAAGAGCCTCATCCACTTGGCTCTTGCACCATCCAGCCCCAAGCAGCACCCCATCCAAGGCCTCATACCAGAGCATCGGGCTCTGCTTGAGTCCGTACAGGCTCTTTAGCAGCTTGCAGACACGAGGAGTCCCATCCTTGTAATACTTGGGTTGTTCCATGTAGAGATCTCTGTCCAGCACACCGTGAAGAAATGCGTTCTTCACATCCAGCTGCATCAGCTCCATATCTAATGCCGCTGCCACTGCCAGCAGTATGCGCGCTGTCACGTAACTCCCCACAGGCGCATAGGTCTCCTCATAATCCACTCCTGCCACTTGAGTGAACCCCTTGACCACCAGCCTCGCCTTCTCTCGCTCCACACGTCCATCCGGCCGGTACTTGGTGTTCAGGATCCAACGATTCTTCATGATGTTCACCCCAGGTGGTGGTGTTACGAGTTCCCAAGTCTCCTGCGCGAGTAACGTCCGCATCTCCTCATCCATTGCCTCTTCGACACGGTCGCCTTTCCAGCACCCCAACGCCTCAGGCACTGTCATCTTCCCAATGTCCCACTGTCTCTCCGGGTCGGTCTCCACATCCGGATCAAGCTCAGTCCACTCCTCATCCTCGTCGGCATCATCCAGTCCCGGCTCAACCACCACTGCCCATGCATAACGAACAGGCAGAACTCCCCTCGTAATGCGGGTAGAGCGACGCAAGTCTGGAGTAATGGTTCCTGAAGCCAATACGCGATTGCCACTCCACTCTCCCCCTTCTCCTTCATTCTGCGGCTGCTGGTCTCCTTCGCCCAGCTGTTGCAAATCTCCTTCACCCTGCTGCTGCAAGCCCACTAGCTCCGTTAGCTCTCCCCTTACTCCCATTTCCCACTGCTGCGCCGCAGTCAGAAGCTGTCCGTCGGTGGGCACAAGAGACGGAGGCTCCAACACACCCCCCTCACCGACGAGCAGCGCTGGCGGAGGGGAAGGGGAGGGTGACGCAGGAGGGAGGGAGGGGTTAGCAGGAGGTGGGATAGCAGACGGGGAAGAGGAAGAGGGAGGAGATGCGGGAGGTGGTGGAGGAGGAGCGGGTGGGGCAAGAGGTGCGACCCGAGGAGACACGGAGGAAGGGAAAGGGGTCGGCACAGAGATGGGCACAAAGGGTAGGACAGGAGGGACAACCGCTTCCGCCTTCTCAACCTCCTCCGAAAGCACATCTGGGAAGAGGGAAGGGAGGGGCTCATAGGACAGTGGTCGCCCAGCATGCTCCTACTGATGCCATGCCTTCCACCCAGCAAGAGACATCGTCTCATAAAAGACGGCCTCCGAAGTGGTGACCAGGCGATTGGACTCCAAGTCCAAAACATGCCATCCCTTGCTGACTGCAGACACACCCAAGTGCAACCCCCAGCGAGCCTTAGGCGCGAGCTTTCCCCCACGCTGAGACAGCGGCACCATGTACTGCAGCATGCAGCCCTAGATGCGCACCATACTAACATCAGGTTTACGACTGAAGGCGAGTTCATACGGGGTGACTCTGTCGGGCAGAGAGGCGTGCTCCACACGATTGCGCACCCAGACTGCCTGTGCCACCGCCAGATGCCACCAGTGGTGCTGCACACCCATGTGCAGCAGCATCGTCCGTACAGCTTCCACAATGCTCCGCATCTCCCGCTCCGCCATTCCATTCTGCTCCGGTGTGTAGGGACAGGTGAGGTCGTGCTCGATGCCGCGCTGGTCAAGGAAGGCAGTGAATGCTGCACCCAGGAACTCGCCGCCACGGTCGGAGTGCAGCGCCTTCATCTACATCCCATACTGCCGCTCCGCCAAGGGTAGCCACTTCTCGAAGGCAGCCAAAGTGTCACTCTTTTGCGCCAGCGTGTAGACCCAAACATACCGGGTCATCCGATCCTTCAGCACCAGGAAGTAACGGCTCCCATCCTTGGCCCGCTCCCGAAAGGGTCCGCAGAGGTCTGCATGCACAACTCCAAGCACCTCATCTTCCTCGCCACCCATGGGAGGGAAGGCATGATGGGTAATTTTCCCCCCCACACAAGAAACACAAGGCAGTCCCGACTTTCCCCCTTTTTCCAGCTCCAAGCCCATCACTGACCCATGAGCTGCAGTACGCCGAATGGTGTCAACACCAACGTGGGCGA